TATTATATCCTTGTATCAACACTTTAAATGAAAGTGATGTAATAGTGTTTTTAAGCCCATATTTAATCTATTTCCAGTTATTGCACTTTGTCTTGGTTAGATACCTATGGTAACCTTAAAGAGCAGTGGCCCCTTGCGACACAGCATCTATTTCTGCCTTGTACAGCGGAATCAGACTGTGCAGGTTAAGCAATAAGGATACTACCATTAAACAAGCAGCAAAACAAAAGTCAGTTCCTTTTGCCAAGAAAACTCTGGAGACAGTCATTTTAAAGGACAAAAAGGTTGTTGGAAAAAAGTTTTTTTTTTTCCCTTTTCCTCTCTGCATTCTTGTCTGTGCTATCTAAAATTGTGATGTATGCAGTATTTTAATATTTTGCTTATTCTTTCCCCTTGGGTGCTCTCTGGGCAGCGATAAAAAGGCGAAGCTGAAAGAGCACCATTAATTTGCTCTGATGACTGGCCAGATAAGGGGAGATAATGGGAAAGATAAGCTGGGAAGATATACCATCAGAAACCCGATTATTACCATTAAAATTCCAGCCCAGCAATCTGCACAAGGCTGATAATTCCTTCTCCGTTTCCACCACTTTGGATGATAAGGCAAAAAAAAAAAGTCACTCAGTGCTCCTTGATTAGACTGCCTGGATATCCTGATAATGCCGTGATAAATTATGTATTTGGCCCCCATGTTTTGTAACAAAAATTCTGATTTTATTATATCTTTTCCTCTACTCCTGTACATTTTTATTTTATTACAAGCCTCTGCTAAGTGAGCTCCCTCCCAGGCCAGAAAACAAAACCTCTCTCTCGTGAGCTATTATTGTAATATGTGATTGATAAAAAGCAGCGATAGGAAACGAGGTGTTTTGTGTAGGGGGAGCCATATCAATGCTATCAGCCCATCTCGCTGCGCCAGCTGCTTGCCGTTGTTGTTTTTTAGCCTTATCACCCCCTGCCAATATACCAATAAATTGCCTGGGTCGTCCTTCTCCCTGTAATTTAACTGTAAAATTTATGACACCAGGTTTGTTCTTATATTTTGGTGACAGAGGTGGTGTAGCATTTGGGACTGTTCTCCCGTACCTTGGCTTGTCTGTAAACTCCTAGAAGGTCATTCAACACTTATCAAGGCATAATAGAGGTCCCAGAAAAGTGGGAGGAGTTTGGAATCATAGTTTGGTTTGTTTGCAAACAGATTGCTGGAGCCATGTGTTCCAGCTTTCCAAAGCTTTAAAATAAACATACATTGCAAAAAAAAAGAAATAACAAAAAAAACCTGCTTATTAAGCAATTTGATAAAAAACTATTAATTTTCATCCCTGTTATTATATAAAATATGCCCATGCAAAGTATACCAGAAAATATTAATTATTATTATAATTGAATTCTAATATTTACACCGTTAAACATTGATTATTTTTTCACGATAATACTGTGAAATTTGCTGAGCATTGTTTGGTTTTCACTTGGAACCATTAATGCTCTTAATACAGCAGTGTAATTTGAGAGCAGTGTAACTGACTCATCATGAGCCATATTACTGTACAGGATAAGATTGTCTTAACTTGCTTTGGCTTTTCCTGGTGTGTACTTGCTCCTTCAAATGTCTTTAATGCACTATTAAATTAATTATTATTCAACTTAATTTTTTAAAATAAAATTAAAATATAGTTTTTGAACTGAAAAAAAATATAAATGTTGATATTTTTATAAATAATGTGAAAATCAATTTTCTTCATATGCATAATAAATTACATTGAAATCTACAATTATTATAGTTTTTGTTGGTGTGTATTTGATCTTTTTCTCAATTGAAGCAGTATGCAGTAAACAGTACACACCCGTAAAATCATTTGAACACCATGTACATAGCTTTTTCTAATGGTGAATTCGTGTGGCGTGCCTATTTTCTCTAACTTTTTTTTTTCTTTATCCAGAGCAGAACTGCATTTTTTTACCTTTAGAAAATGTAGCCATTGTTTTCAACAAAGCTAGGGTGGCAAACACCTGTGATGCTGCAAATTAAATCATGTCTCTGGATGGTATAGACATAGACTAGCCAACTGTACAACTGCACAATTTGATTTTGAAATAAGGTTGGACCCGTAACAACTATTATGATAATTGAATGTACTGAATAGAGGCCATGTAAAAAAAAAGGCTTTGTCTGTGTTAGGAAACGTGTAAA